AGTCCAAGGGAACTGGGACGGGAGCAACGATTCAACAAATTAGACTTGAATTAGATAGCAGATTAGCACGCTTTAAATAATTTTGCGATCCAACTGTCGAATCAGAAGCTAAAGAACTTAGACTGTCTCAGTGTTTCAAAAGTAAATGACTAAATCAACTATTTGAATTTTAAAAAACAAGTATAGATCACTTATTTATAAATTGAGGCTTGTAGTTTTTCAGAACGTTGCGGACTGCGGTTACATTCTTAAACTCTATAGAACCAAGGTATATTGTCACTAGTGAGATTCTACAGGGTGTCCCAGAAGTAACTACCCACACAAAACCCCCATTCAGAATTGCTTAGAGAATGCAGATGTAGGTCATACTAATTAACTCAAAAATGTTAAGATTTCCTGAAAATCTCGTAAAATTTCATCAATTACAGATGTTTGGCACGACACTCCCTCTTTATCCCAATTGTCACCATAAATTGAGTTAGGAACTCAAAAATTTCCAGACAGTTTGATAATTCAAGTGCTTTCCTATAGTTTCAAGTTGGTTGTTTACAAATAAGCCGAGTTATGACTATTTTAAGATCTGGCTGATGCATGATCCTGGCACTTAATCAGTGATTCGAATGATTTCAAATTATTATCCAAGTAACCTTGGGTGATTAATCCAACGATCAAAACCAAATCGCCCAATCTTGCCTAAAAACGATGTTTGAATGTTGCATTGAAAATATCCATTTGCTTAAGTCATAATGATAAGAATTGGCTGTAAATGAACTGGTAAGTAGATTAGCATAATGTACCCACTACCCAGCAACACGGCAGTTAAACCTCGTCACAGTTTAGCTCCACAAATTAGCCCTTTCCTTAATTAAATCTATCACTATTTTATAATCATTTCGTCAGAGGAATGACAACATGAACCCCAAAACTTTGATCATAACATGTGGACAGAACTCAGTGCCAGGACAACATGACACTCCGAAACTTTGAAACATAACACGAGGAAATATGGACAGAACTGAACAATAGCAACAACCACACTCAGAGACTGAAGAATCAGGAGGACTCTGTATCCCAGGAACCAACTATTTAGCTATCGTCGCTCAATAATCGGTTTGGTATCGACCCTACATATTTTGTTTTTCCGACTTTAAAGCTGACTTAAGAAACAAGGGAATTAAATTTAACTTCCTAACATTAAATCGTTGATTTTATATAATTTTCCTTTTTTCCCCAGTACATTGTGCAGAAAGTTGGAGATTGGGGGGGGGGGGGGGGGGGGGGGGCCAACCATATTAAAGTATATTAAAATGTAGGATTTTTTCCAATTTTGACCCGGGGATATACTTTAATATACTTTAATATACTTTAATATACTTTAATGTACTTTAATATACTTTAATGTACTTTAATATACTTTAATATTCCTACATTTTCTCTATTAAAATTTTGAATCCATATTACTTACCATATACTTGACCAATTTATGAGCCAAAATATATGAATTATGAGTTCAGGGGACTAGCAACTGGCTTATCTTCTAATCTACTAATTGTAGGTATATTAAAGTATATTAAAATGTAGGTTTTTTTTCCAATTTTGACCCGGGATATACTTTAATATACTTTAATATACTTTAATATACCTACATTATAAAAAATTATGTGAAAAATTTTGTTGTATTTAATGTATAGATTAGATTTACCTTTCATGTAAAGTTAGTCTTGTTCAAAGATATTGATACTTGACTAATTTATGAGCCAAAATATATGAAGTATGAGTTCAGGGGACCAGTAATTTGCTTATCTTCTAATCTACTAATTGTAGGTATATTAAAGTATATTAAAATGTAGGATTTTTTCCGATTTTGACCCGGGGATATACTTTAATATACTTTAATATGGTTGGCCCCCCCCCCCCCCCCCCCCCCCCGAGATTACAAATTTTGGAATCATGTAGTTATTGACCGTATATACTAAAAATACTCTAGCACAATTGTAACTGCAGTATTACAGAACTCTAAATGTTTAATGAACACATTTGCAGGTACCACCCGTATTCACACTCAAAAATGAGTTTAGTCAGTTTCCGATACAAACAAACAAACAACAAACAGATTAGCATAATGAATTTAACAGGTATCAACCATCCTTAATGTTAACTGTCAATAAATAAGTGTGTTTAATGTTTAAATAAGTGTGTTTAATGTTTAATAAGTGTGTTTAATGTTTATACAACACAGTTTTATGTGTTTATTAGATTTTTATCAGTAATAATTCTTGCACAAATTAAAGTCACTTGGCAGTACTGTTATATAGTTGTGAAATGATTATGGTGAATAGAGCTGCCATTTCTCTCCACAATCGCTTGGTACGAGGTTTTATTTTATTAATAAAGGCTGAGCTAAAGCAGTCATATGTATGTAAGATAAAAAAGGTCACATCAAGCTTGAACAAAGTACTTACATGTTTTCGTCTGAAGAATCGGTCGTTATTATACCAGCATATAATAATGTTTGCCAGGAAAGAATCTCGTCCCAAGGAAAATTCTGGTTCAGCTAGTAATAATGATACTTAAAAGTTAACATTCTGGCTAACTGCTTAGAGCTAGAGCTTTACAATAATCAGAATAAACAATATACATAAAGTTAGGTCTGTTTCTGCACCAGGAATATAGAAATGAAAAGTGTGTCAAACAGTATATATTCATTCAATTAAATCAAGTGATGCAATTGGCAGAGCACAATCAAATTTTAAGTGTTGCAATTGGCAGAGCACAATTCATTGCTACCAATAATTTTTTCAAAAACATTTTAACAAAACACATGATCTACTCCATTATAGGGGCAGGGATGAGGTTGTAGATAGATTGCAAATACTTTCAAAACACCTGCAGTTCAAGGAATAATAATAACAGCTCTTTGAGTTCGATATTACAGCTAAACTAAGATAATCAAAATAAGTGGGACCAACTTAGAATCACATATCACCAGTTTTCTAGAAAATGTGATTGAAGGCCATTACTGAAATTTAAGGCAGATCTGGAGCTCTAGCTTGGAATGTGTTTGTTCTTTACCGTGCCATTCACACGATTTGATCCATGGAAGTGTCACATAAGTATACTTTTTCTAGCACAGAAACACATTTAAGCAAGGCTTGAATAGTTTACTGTAATTTCGATAAGTTGCATGAGTGAAATGATCTGATAAAAGAGTAAAACTTTCAAATTCTATCCAGATCTATAAGTGTAAAAAGATATTTACTCTAAGAGACATCCACTGTACTATCATTACCCTACTAGAACAAGTTTCTTTAAGTCTCAAACACATCAAAGCCAAAAGGAAGTAGCACTAACTCAGTTACATTAAATAACCACTCAAGATTAATTAGTAAGCTCACTTTCATTCTACGAAACAACTACTATCAAACTAAATATAATACGGTGTAGCATTGAAGCTTTGTGCTAGGAGTGGGAACAGAAAAACATGCGATCAAAACGCGACAAGGTCAAATTAAATGGGCAATAAAATTATAATAAAAACCAGGCGACAACGATTTTTGTTAAATCTCTTAAAATGCGCGGCGTAGTGTAGTGCGTCCTTTGAAAACCAAATAAAAATTATTTTTTATCAAAATATTAGAAAAAAAAATTACGGTATGATGCAAATCTTGTGTAAAAAAATGTGATAAACAATATGCTGTAAAAAACTTTCGTAAAAAATTTTAAAAAACATGATCCCTACCCTATTTCGTGAATTTATAATTTTTGGGATTTTGACAGGATAAAATTTTTGTTAAAAGCCTATCCATTTGTCAAAATTTTTGTCATGGTATTATGTGACTCTATTCAATGAGATCATTATCCTTTGATGTACTGTGTAATATATTGGAGTTTATTAAGGGATACAAATATTTGTAGGTTTATAACTGATAACCTACAAAGACGCGCGCTGAGCTGGAGTCATTGTATAATAATTTGTAACGTATAACTATCGATAATAAATAAGATCAACTAAGTCTAAACCATATGGTACCAAGTTAATTCAATTGTAAAATCTTTCCAAAAACAAACAATGTTTCAGGACAAAATTAAAAATCCATTTACAAATATTCATAGCTTCAAGCTTAAAGTTTAAGTAAGACATACATTATATAAAAATTATTTAATTACATATGCATAATAATAATATGTTGTGTAATAGTCGAGCGTGTCTTTTTAAAGATGAGTCATTTGTAGTATCGATAAGAAAATCCCTGTACAAATAGCTTTCAGTACTAATCCGATTTATGTTGTATAACACTGAAGACACTGCACGCGCAGTGAACCACGTGTAACGAGCATTAAGGTCTACCGAAGTTCGTAGGGCGCGAAACTTTTTATATTGACGTGTTTGCGCTTCCTGAGTGAAGAGCTCGCGCCGGGCAATGCAATGGCAATGAGCATTGGTCGCACTTTTTTCAGTGCGATGCAAGTCGTATTTCAAATTTACTCTAGCCGCCCGAATATAGATTCGGCAGTTAATGGCAGGTAAGGAGCTGAGCGCCGCCCCGCCCAGTAAGTAAAAACAATTTTATTGCATTTTCCTCACTGTAAATTGCATTATATTAATTGCATTATATTAATGCACACGTGCAATGTATTTACTTGCTTGGCACTTTCCTGGCACGCTAAAGCATTCTACACTCGATTTTAAATGTATCTAGTTATTATTACTGCAAGTATATTGCTCGTTTCTCTTATACCTATATCTTACTGGGCCGCGCTCAGCCTGTCATCCCGCCTAATCTCTATGTTTATGAACGTGATAGCCTGAGGTCCCCAGGTAAACCTATATCCCAATGCAAGAAGCTCGGCGTGCCAAGCTAATCTAGTTACTCCTGTTTTCACGTAAATTTAAGCCAATGCATATTTAGTAAGGCCAGCTAATTGTACTTGTATTTTTGATTTTGTACTATAAAATTTACTCCTAACTTGTTTGTTGTTCGAAATTAAATACGTTTTATACCAGGTGCTGCAGGCAGCCCTATAAAATGAATATCATAAATTGGATAATATACAATATATTAAGTTACCAATACCAATTAAATCTAAACTCAATAAATCTTCAATCAACATTCATCTTGATATGTTTGATAATATCAATTCTATGTCAAATCGACACTGACAGCTGAAAATAATATCAGTTACATTACTACTCTTAATGATCAATTTCTATTCTGATCAAGGTTCATTTTTACATTTGCAGCAAGATTACAACCTTTAATCTCATCTCAAAACTTAAATTAAAACTCTTATCTGAACCATTTACAGAGCATGGACTAAAGTTACTGCAAGTCAAGTCATGAAATCAATGTTACAGTGCATACGAAACAAATGAAAATGACAATAAATATCACCAATCAACAACTAAATCTACAGCTACAAAAAATTGGGCTCGAAATCCAGCGTCTTTCAGTGGTTTGCAAGGAGGAGGATCATAATCACATCACAAAGACCCTCCATAAAATGCCGCCCTGGCTCAGTAACGTCATTACCACGACATCAGACATGGCGGGTGTTCAACTTCATCCCCACAACACTGTGGGTCCCTCAACCTCCACTACTTGAAGTTATCGTACGGATGGTGGAAGCTGTCCCGTGTGTTATGTCTCGTTTCGAAGCCCCTCTCCGGGAATCCCCCTCTAAACCCCGCACCCGGCTCGAAATGTCCAGCCCTGAAATCCACATCAGCGAAATGTTTAGAGTTCTGATAGTGCAGATCGGGGTGGGAGAACTTGTGGTCGAGAGGTTTAAGTTGTTTGGGAGGTCCGGGTTCCTCGTTAGATCTTGACATGATGGCGGGAAGTTGTCGGTATTTGCTGTCCAGAACTCTAGTGTTTCCTGGGGATAAGGGAGTTAGGGAAACAGAAAGTTATTATAAATGTTAATTCTGTGTATATTTTGTGAGTGATTAGAACAAGTTAGTCAGCAAATACAAAAGAAGCAGCTGAAAGTTTCAGCAGCTGAAACGTTTGAAGGAGTTTTTCCATCATTGTCAGCTCAACTGCGTATGTAAACTCAGCTTTCAGTCCAAATAAGCGAATTCTAACTAAACCAACAGAGTGAATCTTAGGTAATTTGTTCAGCATTCCTTGTACTGGCCACTGGGATTTTGAACCCTCGCATAATTTTATTCCGAGTTCCTCCAGTTTTAACTAAAAGCAAATATAATGGCCCAGCATTAGTGAGTTAGCATTAGAGAGTTAGCATTAGAGAGTTAGCATTAGAGAGTTAGCATTTAGCAGACTGCGGCAAAACGGAGCAATGAAGCGTTACCCTTGTCCGCCATCTTGAAATGTTTGTTGAGTTCAGGAATGCCAGTACGGAGTTCAGGAATGCCAGTACGATTGTGCGGTTTAGGGGAGGGTTGAAGAGACGAGGGGTGGTGAGAGGGGGCTAGAGAGGTGGCTCCCAAGCTACACTGACTGATGTTAGAGCGCAGGAGGGGACGCTGCACTCTACCCACCACCAGACTCCTGTCCCTTTCTGCCAGGGTACATGTAGGGTTTTATTATGGCCCCTTACAAAGTTTACTTTATATTGGTTTCCAAATATCAGCTGAACATCTTGTTGAACTTTAGTTTTTAATTGACCATCTTGGCAAATAAGCAATCACAATACTGTGGACTACATATTTGTGCTGCAAAATCTGGATAATTTATCATATAGTGAAAAATGTACAACGTAACTTTAACTTGCAAAGAGGTACAGTATAGTACGGCACGTAACTTTAACTTGCAAAGAGGTACCGTATAGTACGGCACGTAACTTTAACTTGTAAAGAGGTACCGTATAGTACGGCACGTAACTTTAACTTGTAAAGAGGTACAGTATAGTACGGCACGTAACTTTAACTTGTAAAGAGGTACAGTATAGTACGGCACGTAACTTTAACTTGCAAAGAGGTACAGTATAGTACGGCACGTAACTTTAACTTGCAAAGAGGTACCGTATAGTACGGCACGTAACTTTAACTTGCAAAGAGGTACAGTATAGTGCGGCACGTAACTTTAACTTGCAAAGAGGTACAGTATAGTGCGGCACGTAACTTTAACTTGCAAAGAGGTACCGTATAGTACGGCACGTAACTTTAACTTACAAAGAGGTACAGTATAGTACGGCACGTAACTTTAACTTGCAAAGAGGTACAGTATAGTACGGCACGTAACTTTGACTTGCAAAGAGGTACAGTATAGTACGGCACGTAACTTTGACTTGCAAAGAGGTACAGTATAGTACGGCACGTAACTTTAACTTGCAAAGAGGTGCCGTATAGTGCGGCACGTAACTTTAACTTGCAAAGAGGTACAGTATAGTGCGGCACGTAACTTTAACTTGCAAAGAGGTACCGTATAGTACGGCACGTAACTTTAACTTACAAAGAGGTACAGTATAGTACGGCACGTAACTTTAACTTGCAAAGAGGTACAGTATAGTACGGCACGTAACTTTGACTTGCAAAGAGGTACAGTATAGTACGGCACGTAACTTTAACTTGCAAAGAGGTGCCGTATAGTACGGCACGTAACTTTAATTTGCAAAGAAGTACAGTATAGTACGGCACGTAACTTTGACTTGCAAAGAGGTACAGTATAGTACGGCACGTAACTTTAACTTGCAAAGAGGTGCCGTATAGTGCGGCACGTAACTTTAACTTGCAAAGAGGTACAGTATAGTGCGGCACGTAACTTTAACTTGCAAAGAGGTACCGTATAGTACGGCACGTAACTTTAACTTACAAAGAGGTACAGTATAGTACGGCACGTAACTTTAACTTGCAAAGAGGTACAGTATAGTACGGCACGTAACTTTGACTTGCAAAGAGGTACAGTATAGTACGGCACGTAACTTTAACTTGCAAAGAGGTGCCGTATAGTACGGCACGTAACTTTAATTTGCAAAGAAGTACAGTATAGTACGGCACGTAACTGATGATGACGTCACACCAACCTGGAGGCTCGAAGGCGACTGCGTTAGGTTTAAGAGAGATGTGGGGGAGGATGTGCTCAGTTTCGTGAGGAATGTTAGGTATGTTATGAGGTATAGGGTTGTTAGGTCGCTCTGATTGTAATACTGCTTGGTTACTTGCAGGCTGAAATATTGTCAAGTGTTAATTTTACTTTTGCTGTCACCTTGGAAGCAGTCTCAAAACATATAACTTCTGTGACAATGTCACGTGGCAGAGTGATGACGTCACGCGACAGAGTGATGACGTCACGTGACAGTGTCACACACCAAGACAACAAGAGAATAAGAGACAAGTTAAAGGATAATAGACACCATAACATCACATTATACATATTATATATCACATCACATTGCAGTTACAACAGATTAGTATGTGTTATATGCAGGTTCTCAAGTTAAAGACAAGGTATACGGTGGTTTAATGTGAAAAGTTATGACGTCACGTGACAAAGTGATGACGTCACGAGACAAAAGGATGACATCACGTGACAAAGTGATGACGTCACGTGACAGAGGGATGACGTCACGTGACAGAGGGATGACGTCACGTGAATAACAATATTTGCTTACCCAGCCTTCCTTTAAAATACGTCGTGAACTTCTGTGGGACGGGGACTGTCCGGCCGTTAGATTTTTCATAAATTGTTTTCTTACATTTTACTTTTTAAAACTCTTTTATAATTAACATTTCACATTTCCCGTCCTACAATTCTTATTTAACACCTTACATTTCATCTCAAATCACACAGACGTTAATCAAACATATCAGGGTGTAGACTTGTCGGCGCGAGAAAACATTCTCATACCCTAACCCGACGAGGCCCGGACCCATGACATATAATAGTAGTAGTAGTAGTATATATAGTATACAAATTGTATACACTATTATACTACTATTACCACTACTACTATAACAGCAATGTTACGCATGGGTGGGAACATCTTAATTTAGGCTATGTTGCAATCTAACTATTAACTACATTGACTGCTACTGACTACGTGACTATTGACGACTACTAGATCTACTCAAGTGCTACCGAAAACAACAATTACGTTGCTTATATTATGAGGCTCAAAACAAATATTAATTTTAATAATGATTAAATAATTTCTTACCTTCAGTTTCTTTTCAAAGTTTGATTTCTTCTCCATATTGACAAGTCGCTGTAAAAATGGGAAATTAGAGGAAAAACAGAAAAACTTTCGACTGTGTTTAAAATATGATTTGCCGTGTAACTATAAATTACTCATCATCATCAGTTTTAGTAACGGATATAATAATATCACGCATTGTTGTGTTGTTGTGACGTGATGTTGTGTTGTCGTGACGACTCACCGCAAGTTCTATTTCGAACCACTCTCTAAATCCGTCGAAGTAAGAATGGTTGAGGAGGTCCTCGCATGTTGCCCGCTTGTTGGGATCCATCACAAGACAGAGTTGCAGGAAATCCATCGCTTGCTTTGGGACATCTACTCCCATTCGTTCGTGTAGCGATTCCTGGTATCGTTATCGAATTATTTGTTGGTTATATTTAATAAAGTAACTTCAAGTAAGCAATCGATATTTGGTTTGAAGATATTCCATGTACTTGAAAATATATTAAATAATTAATATTTATCATACTTACATAGCGTTCAGGATCCTTCAATTCAACTCCTTTGAAGTACGAACTGTTATTGTATATCTTCAGATGTCTTGGCAGCAAATCACCTGAGATAATCACAAGTATTATCTTTAGATATGTTCTGATCTTCTTCAAAACAAGGCCGTGAAACGTTTGCAAAGGATTGAGCTATTCACTAATACTAACCCAGAGTTTTTCTGATAAGGTATATCTGGTCAACGTCTCCTGTTTTACCGGGCCACAGCGGCTGCCCTGTCAGCAGCTCACTAAACACACAACCTGTAAAATAGTCTATAGAGAGAGGGGAGAGATGGGGAGAGAGAGAGAGGGAGAGAGAGAGAGAGGGAGAGAGAGAGAGGGGGAGAGAGGGGGAGAGAGGGAGGGGCAGAGGGGGAGAGAGAGGGAGAGGGGGAGAAATGGGAGAGAGGGGGAGAGAGGGAGAGGGGGAGAAATGGGAGAGAGGGGGAGAGAGGGAGAGGAGGGGGGGAGAGAGTGAGGGGAGAGAGAGCGAGAGGGGGAGAGAGAGAAGGGGAGAGAGAGAGAGGGGAGAGAGAGAGGGGGAAGGGGGAGAGGGGGATAAATGGGAGAGAGGGGGAGAGAGGGAGAGGAGGGGGGAGAGAGTGAGAGGGAGAGAGAGCGAGGGAGAGAGAGAGAGAGAGGGGGAGAGAGAGAGGAGGAGAGAGAGAGGGGGAGAGAGGGAGGGGCAGAGGGGGAGAGAGAGGGAGAGGGGGATAAATGGGAGAAAGGGGAGAGAGGGAGAGGAGGGGGGGAGAGAGTGAGGGGGAGAGAGAGCGAGAGGGGGAGAGAGAGAGAGGGGGAGAGAGAGAGGAGGAGAGAGAGAGGGGAAGAGAGGGAGGGGCAGAGGGGGAGAGAGAGGGAGAGGGGGAGAAATGGGAGAGAGGGGGAGAGGGGGGAGAGAGGGGGAGAGAGGGATGGGCAGAGGGGGAGAGAGAGGGAGAGAGGGACAGAGGGGGAGAGAGAGAAGGAGAGAAGGATAGGGAGAGAGAGAGAGGGAGAGAGAGCGATGGAGAGAGAGAGAGGGGGAGAGAGAGAGAGAGAGAGCGAGAGAGGAGGAGAGAGAGAGGGGGAGAGAGAGGGGGAGAGAGAGGGAGAGGGAGAGAGGGAGAGGGGGAGAGAGGGAGAGGGAGAGGGGGAGAGAGGGAGAGGGAGGGGAGGGGAGAGAGTGAGAGAGGGAGAGAGAGAGGGAGGGAGATAGGAGAGAGAGAGAGAGAGAGAGAGAGAGAGAGAGAGAGAGAGAGAGAGAGAGAGAGAGAGAGAGAGAGAGAGAGAGAGAGAGAGAGAGAGAGAGAGAGAGAGAGAGAGAGAGAGAGAGAGAGAGAGAGAGAGAGAGAGGAGAGAGAGAGAGAGAGAGAGAGAGAGAGAGAGAGAGAGAGATAGAGGGAGAGAGGGGGAGAGGGGAGATGGAGAGAGGGAGGGGGAGGGGAGGGGGGAGAGAGTGAGAGATACTCAAGTAGAAGAGATGACTGACCTACAGCCCAAACATCTACTGGAGGACCGTACTGCGTATCTCCGACTAGCAACTCTGGCGCTCGGTACCATCGTGTAGCTACGTAATCTGTGTACTCTTCCTCTCCATCTGGGTGTAATGAGGTCACGTGGTGTTGTGATGACGTCACGTGGTGTTGTGATGACGTCACGTGGTGTTGTGATGATGAATGGTGATGCTTTGAGTAGGAACTGACACTCTGACAGATATTATGAGTTGACCTACGAGTTCCTAATCTGCTCTGTCATTCCTAATAGATTATCATCGGATACCAAGCATTTTAATAGTCCTAGATGATGAATATTATATTGACTTACTGAGGAGCCTCGCAAACCCGAAGTCGCACAACTTTACGATTCCACTTTTTGTGACCAGGATGTTCTCGGGCTTCACATCTCTGTGTATGCACTGAAACGAAAATTACAAATAGTTATCAACTTTATCTTTCATTAATTTTCATTAATTGGAAATCTTGTTCAAGCACGCAAAACATCACATGATAGTTAAAATGTTTAGAAAACACTATTATTCCAAAGTTAGCTAAGCGCGCCAAACATTTCGCATGACACGCGCGCTACACTGACTGCTGAAATGCTCCTTTTTATAATTAACGAATTTTCGCGTTTTCCATGCAGTGAGATTGGACTGCATTATTTGGTGACTTAGACAACATAGCCTGTCACGGTGGTAAACATGGCGCTTATTGTGAGATTCACCAATTCCCAGGCCACTCTTACCAATGACCTAACAGATTCGAGCCAAATAACACTACGATAATTGATAAGTGCTTGGTTATTGGCGAATTATCGTCACTAACGGTTGGGCGTGTCCTACATTTGATCACATACATTATATACCTTAAACTAAAGACCTTAGAAGCATAGAATTGAAAACATTGCGTACACAGTATAGAACTAGCTACATTAGAGGAAACAGTTTGCAACCTATGTGCAGCTTATTAATAGCACGGTAACAGAATGTGTTGATATTACACGCGTAAAACGAGGAAAGTGTTTACTAATAATTTGTAAGAACCCAGGGGGTAGCTAGCAAGTACAGGGTAGTACAGTGCAGTACAGGGGGTAGCTAGCAAGGTAACAAGCATATTACATGATCTTACTGCATACAATGTTATTTACTGTTTATGTCAAGGTTATATTACCGTAATTGTGCCATTAATACACCAGTACCATATATCATTGTGCCATGAATTAATGGCACAATAATATATGGTACTGGTGTATTAATGGCACAATAATATATAGTACTGGTGTATTAATGGCACAATAATAGATAGTACTGGTGTATTAATGGCACAATAATAGATAGTACTGGTGTATTAATGGCACAATAATAGATAGTACTGGTGTATTAATGGCACAATAATAGATAGTACTGGTGTATTAATGGCACAATAATAGATAGTACTGGTGTATTAATGGCACAATAATAGATAGTACTGGTGTATTAATGGCACAATAATATATAGTGCTGGTGTATTAATGGCACAATAATAGTCTACTGCTTGAAAGCTTAATAATAAACTGTGAAAGAGTGGTCAAGGTAAATAAAACTATTCCGATACAACCAAAGAAATAGCTTACGTAAAAGGTAACATGCATAAGGAATTAAAAGGAGGCCTCACACACACACTATAATTACATGAAGTCATTAACTGTGAAATTATGCCAGTGTTTGAGGATACACGCTGGCTGACAATCAATAAATAATTTAAGATATCTATGTAAGATCTTCCGTTCAAAATTCTGGGTAATCAGTTTATCAATTAATAAATTCAGTAACTACTTCAGTGCATACTGTAAACATAGTGATATTAACTATAAATTCAGTAACTACTTCAGTGCATACTGTAAACATAGTGATATTAACTATAAATTCAGTAACTACTAACTAACTACCTACTCAGTAACTACTGAGGAAGATTTGCATATCCTATGCAGTAGGATATACAGTATGACCTATACAGTTCGCCTACAAATACTCCATACGAAGGTTTCACAGGTACGTTGAATTGAAGGTTAGGAAAAGTATTATTAAATCAAAGTTCTAAACAAGGGATAGTTAAAAACAACGCACAGGTCTAATCATTCCCTAAAACAAATACCTAAAATCAAAAACTTCATTGTAATTTCTGCCAATATCTCTTGTCGTAAGCTAAATTACGGAGATAATACAGATCAAAAATATTATTCATAGGAAAAGTAACGACTTTAAAACTCAAATCACGTCGTTTGTCATATAATTTAGTGTAGAAACGATTGTTCAAAAATTTTGACGACGACATTTCTTGATTTAGACATTAATATTTTGAATCAAAATATTAATGTCTAAATCAAGAAATGTCGTCGACAAAAGAGTTTGTTAAAACTACAATCTTCAACTCTACAGGGTAAATATCCTTTCAAATTATATCGACAGTCTTATGTAGTAATATATAGTATAGTAATATATAGTAGTACTATAGTAATATAATATAGTATATTAATATTATATAGTATAGTAATATATAGTATAGTAATATATATTATAGTAATATATAGTATATTAATATATAATATAGTAATATATAGTATAGTAATATATAGTATATAATATACATTGTGTATATATAATATTCATTGTGTATATATAGTATAGTATATAGTATATAATATACATTGTGTATAATGTATAGTATAGTATATATAGTATATAGTATATAATATACATTGTGTATATAAAATATATATTATACATTGTGTATATATAGTATATATTATATAGTATATAATAATAGGGAGCTACTTTATCACGTGACAGACATTTTACAAATCTAATTTTCGTGATTTTGGAGGACTTGAAATAGACATATTGTCCGACAAATAAGTCTATAAATAAGTCTATAAATGAGTCTGATTTTGAAAAGGTTTGGGAGACTAAGAGGGAGCTAAATTATGTTCAATGAATGGTTACTGCAATACTGTTTGTGATTTTTGGAATTAGCTATAACAATCATACATATTATTCCATATAAGGGGAAATGATTGAAATCATGATGTGGTATTATAGAGTAAAATAGAGTTGTACGGCGGCTTGGTTAACAGTTCCTGCAACTCTGGGGTAAAAATGTAGTATTTCGAGTGGGATATAATATCAAGTACACCGGCACCACGTGACGTGACGTCACACCACGTGACACCAGCTCCTGGCACTTGAGTGGTACAGTTAGTAGTACTAGTAGTTCTAATAACCAGCTGGTTAAAGTAAGAACTGTGCTCTGAAGGTATGGGAGAATAAAGTGTAACCTGACACGGCAAACTCCCCTACCAACCTTAATACCACCCCTCTATCCTACCCTTAATACCACCCCTCTATCCTACCCTCCATACCACCCCTCTATCCTACCCTCCATACCACCCCTCTATCCTACCCTCCATACCACCCCTCTATCCTACCCTCCATACCACCCCTCTATCCTACCCTTAATACCACCCCTCTATCCTACCCTCAATACCACCCCTCTATCCTAGCCTTAATACCACCCATCTATCCTACCCTCCATACCACCCCTCTATCATATCCTTCATACCACCCCTCTATCCTACCCTCCATACCACCCCTCTATCCTACTTTCCATACCACCCCTCTATCCTACACTTAATACCACCCCTCTATCCTACCCTTAATACCACCCCTCTATCCTACCCTCAATACCACCCCTCTATCCTACCCTCAATACCACCCCTCTATCCTACCCTTCATACCACCCCTCTATCCTACCCTCAATACCACCCCTCTATCCTACCCTCAATACCACCCCTCTATCCTACCCTTCATACCACCCCTCTATCCTACACTTGTTACCAACCCTCTATCCTACCCTTAATACCACCCCTCTATCCTACCCTTCATACCACCCCTCTATCCTACCCTCAATACCAACCCTCTATCCTACCCTTCATACCACCCCTCTATCCTACCCTCCATACCACCCCTCTATCCTACCCTCCATACCACCCCTCTATCCTACCCTTCATACCACCCCTCTATCCTACCCTTCATACCATCCCTCTATCCTACCCTTCATACCATCCCTCTATCAAACCCTTAATACCACCCCTCTATCCTACCCTCAATACCACCCCTCTATCCTACCCTTAATACCACCCCTCTATCCTACCCTCAATACCACCCCTCTATCCTACCCTCAATACCACCCCTCTATCCTACCCTTCATACCACCCCTCTATCCTACCCTTCATACCACCCCTCTATCCTACCCTCCATACCACCCCTCTATCCTACCCGTGATACCACCCCTCTATCCTACCCTTCATACCACCCCTCTATCCTACCCTTAATTTCAAATATTCTACATTTTTCTACATTGTTCTCATTTTATGGTTCACGCTAAAATGATAGCAATGACATTCTAACCTAATATACACTGACATATGACATTATAAGAGCGGAGAGAAACAGTGCACTAGTGGTTACTATGACAACTGTCCGGGACCAAATGACAGACAATCTATAACTCTATCGAACTGTATACCGTTTAAATTCATGGCAATTACCTATATTGGAGGAAGATGCCTTAATAAAGACTGATGGATAGCGTGTACTACAGAGTAGTGTAGGTTAGTCGTCAAGATATGAAGCTAGTACATACTACTCGCTTATTAGCATCTTTACTTTTTTACATTTATCATTTATACATGGAATATTCAAGTTACTGTGAATATAGCGGACCTAAATAGTGGACTTAACTACGACTTAGACTTATGTTTTGCTAGGTGGCACTGTTGTTAACTTGGAGTGGTGAGGATAGTAGTACCTGTTATAACGGTATAATGACTTGGCAAGGAAACACCCTGTTAAAAACAATCTTCATCATAACACTCTCCATCTGTTTATATCACTCACCAAAATCCTTTATATAACTTCACGTGACGTCACACACGTTAACACGTGACGTCACACACATTACCACGTGACGTCACACACGTTACCACGTGACGTCAGACACCCAATATATCAGAACAGTCCCCACTCAAAACAATTAAAACGGTACGTGTTAATCTAGACGCTAGATAACAATGAACAGATATATTGGGTTACCCTGGCCGTGGCACAATGTGACCTCTCAGTTTTATACATGTATCTATACAGGTCCCGAAATAACACAGACATTCTAATCAGTCCTCAGTTCATAATTCTTAAGAACTTGTTATTCACACCAGATACCCCCCTCCTCCCACCTCCCCCCTACCCCCCCCCCCCCCCAGGTTACTAGGTTACCAGCTGGAGAAGTATCATGAGAGCCAGGTTACTAGGTTGGAGAAGTGAGGTAGCTCCCCTCAAGCTACCAACAGGTCGCCCTCAGTGACCTTAACAGAGAGAGAGGT